AACGCAAAATGCGCCCCGGACACAGATGCCGTGGCACGCAAATAACAGAGGAGGGCCGCCACTGAACACAAAACACGACACACCCCCGGCCCGACCAACCAAACACCAACAAACCAAGGACCCCTCCAGAACGCAGCATCCCCATCCCGTGCCAGAAAAGATGGAAACTGCTGCCACCGAACAACTAAAACACTAAAACCGAAGGAGCAAAAAACCCAGCGACCCGACCCCCAGAGGCAAATGCCAACAGGAAAAAGAGCCGATGAAAAAACAAACCGGAACCAAAGGGGCACTACCAACCGAGGAGAAGACAGAGCACGCTGACCAGAGACCAGGATGGTGCAAGAAACACGAACAGGCCGGAGGTGAAACAACGCACGAGACAGCTTACTAACGGTGCAGAAGCAACGCCAAGACCGAAAGCAAGCCGAAGCGGTTCCGCCAGCGCTGCACGAAAAGAGGCGACAGTATGTGGCAAGACGACGACCCCCAACCCCCACCAGAAAAACCAAGCCGACGCTAACAACTGCAGCCACCTAAGAAGGGACAGGAGGAAAAGGAAGGACCGCCAAAATACCCCATACTGCCGCCAAGAAGAAGTACGCAAGTGGGACACCTACCACGAAGCCACCCGACCACCAACTGGAGGCGAGATCGCGACAGACAGAACACCCCACGCACATGGGAGGGCCAAGCCAGGGACCCGAAGACCACGAAAAACAACAAGCAAACCCCCATATGCAAACCCGCTGGATGGGGTTCTGGGAGTTCATTTACACTCCATGCCTGGCCCGAGGCTAGGCTAGACCGGCCAGAGGGTGGCCCACCAGGCAGCTGCTTGGAGCGGCCCGTGGGGCCACATACCCCCCACAACCAGCATGGACCGGAACTTCTATTCGAAAACAGGCTAGTGTGCCCTGGAAGTCCTCAGACGTACCGGCAATATGGCATATGCTCGCAGGTAGGTCGTGTAACAACCGCAGACCTCTGATGGTTATACAGTGTTCCCCGATTGTGCCTATAGCACCACTGCACTCCGCTGGTACTATCTCACAAGTTCTTCCATATAGGCGGGACCCAAGAGGCAGAGCTCAAACCCCCGCAAGCACAACCAGGAGAGCCCTACCAGGTGAGTACATAACCAGCACCACAACCCACACACCTCATAACACGAAAGAGGTGGGTCCCCTGAATGACGAACATGGGTTGGACATGCACATGAGTGGGACAGGAAGGGTTGAAAAAAAGCAACAGTCACTGGTGTGTGAACGGTCTCAGTCGTACAGAAATATACCTAAATAAAGACAGGTATAGAAATATCTCCGCATCCAGCGCCCGGCCAAAAGACGCCAGACCGCAAAAACTCACCTGTCGAACGGAGGCACGAACGCGACACGACCCAACAGTGCCCAGAAGATCCTGGGAGCACCCCCAGGTGAAGAAGCCAGAGTCGGACACGCAGGAGAGCAGGGTAGAGGCGAAGGAGGCGGCCCACACCCATGACAGAGGGAAAACCTCGGTGTCCTCCCCACAGCTGGAAACCAGGACACCCCCGGAGCGAAGGGGCACATACCAGTGCAAGGGAGAAGAGCGAGAGGCGAAGCACCTGAGAAAAAAGGGCGCAAAACACCAGCACAAACACACCGCCCAGACCAAAACAAACTCCACGGCGCATGCGCATGACACGCTGGCCAAAACGCACAACCCGCTCTACGGGAACGTGCCAACCAGGACTACTGCACTAGAAAAGTAGCCAAAAGAGGAAACAGGAACAACAAAACCGGCCAACGAAGCGAAGACATCCCAAAAGGGAACCCAACCGGGCCACAAGCAGCCCAACCGGGCCCCAAGGAGCCCAACTGGGCTACAAGTAGCCCAACCGGGCCACAACAGCCCAACCAGGCTACAAGTAGCCCAAAACGGCGATCCGGACGAGGAGCCAACAGACGTTCCAATAATGCGGGAAGTAGCGAAAACCTTCCTGAACCATCGAGAACACAGAAGCCAACACCAGTCCCGAAGGCACACAAAGGCACAGGCGAACCCGAGACCAGAAGTCACGTAGAACCCCAAGAACGGGGAAACATGACGAAGACACCGTCCCAAAAAGGGGGGGGGGAGCATCCACCCACAGGATAGAACCAACTGACTCAAAGACCAAGGAACCGAGCCCGGGGAGGGGCCGATGCCCAACAACACGTACAGCGAGTGGGGAGGAAAAACCCCACGGGGTCCTACGGGGCCAAGGCTCCAAAGTCAGCCCCTCTCCAGCCCCGGGAACCTACACGACAGGCCCCGGGGCTGAGCCGTCCCCCCCAAAGCCCCGGGCGTACCAGAAAACCGGGGCAGCCGCGAAAACACTAAGGAAGGGAGCCCACTGATAGACTCTTACAACACGGCTGGAGGAACAGGCTAAAATGCCCCTGTCACTACCCCGGAAGGGAAATTCCCCGAGACTGCCCGAGTCTCAAAACCATCAAACCCCGCCCCGAACCCACAGACGGTAAGGAGCCGGATGCAGGCAGGAAGGGAGGGAGGTCCAGGGAAAGACAAGGGGGCGTGGAAGGAACCGAAGCAACCAACACCCCCAAGTCCCAACACGAACCAAAACGGGGCAGCCCCGGGGCTCCCGGGGAACAAACAAACGAGAGCATTGCCACCACCAAGGCTCAAAGTGCAACGCCCCTGCTGCCTGCACCCTCTTAGTCAGCACAACTGGGTAACCGAGCCACAACGAGCAACAAAACTCGCAGGACTCCGGGTCGAAGGTGTCACCGACCCCACAGGCAGCAGACGGAGGCAAAACAGAGTCACCCAGAGACAAGGGGTGAGAGCAACCCTCAAACTCGCTGGAAGCGAGGGGGAACTCTGGGGTCACATCCATCAGACCCGCGCGCCCCCAGGGGTTTCCCAGGGTCCCGAGCGTTTACTATAAGAGGACTCGCGCTCGGATAATCCCAGGCAGGGTACTGCTAACCGGCGCCCAAAGCTACCAAACAACTTTAAGAGCTGAACCCCCAACAACAGGACATGTACACTCACGGGGACCTAGCAGGGGACGTTATTTTTAAGAGGACGGGTACCACCAGAAAAATACTCACGAACACAAGGGACACAAGGGGCAAGAACGAAGGCAGACCCCCACCAGGTAGATAAACAAAAAGAAAAAGAAAACCCCGCAAGAGGACAGCATACCCAAGCGGAACAGAGCCGGCCGCCATGATTGGTAAAGACAAGCTGCACAGTACCCTGCACCCCACCAGTGCAAAAACTGCCCCTTACCCTAAGGCGAACAAGGGAGACCAAAAACCAAGCAGTAAACGGCCTAGCAGGGGCAGGACCCAAGGAACTTATGGCAGGTGGCCCCAAGCCCCAAGGGCAGTACTTACAGGGCACCTAGGGAAGGGAACCATAGGCGCATGCAGCCCGAGTACTGGAGACTCACTCCCGGCTCACGCACCACCTAGAAGACAGACACCACATTCTAGGTACAGTGCTGAAACAACCACTGGAGCCGGAGCACATAACCGGTGCCTATAGCATCAGCCGAAAAACTGATGGGTGGATAGCCGGCGTGGGAGGTCTGGGGCTCCCCCTTCCCCCTCCCAGGGAGGGAGGAGCTGCGCAGACAGCAGCGCGTTGACGTGTGACGTCATACTAGTTTGCTTGTTTTCTGTTGGGGAGTTCTATCCACTAGTTCGGCTTTAGGTAGCAATTTTAACCAGAATAGGGGTTTGTTTTGGAATGCTTACCTTTCTGGATGCTTGACCCGGTCGATGGCAGACATAGAATGCTTCCAACCACACGGGGGTTTCTATAGGCCATTGCTCCCCTTGCCTCTCTGAGGGGGCCAGGTTCTGGCCGTGGTCCCCGGTAGGCCCTAGAACTCCATACACATGACTGATGCCAAAGTCTGACATTAGCCTATCAGCCTGGTAAAGCTCCGGGGAGCTGACGGGGCTCCCCCAGAAAAGACCCCCCAGAAAGCATAACTTATGTACTCAGCATGCCTTAAACCCTATCAGAACCACAAACAAAAATATGCAGAAACCAGTGATCAAAAATATAGAAAACCAAAGTCACACAACATTATCAAGCAGACCCAGAGGAAGCTGAATAAATTGCATAATCATGCACAGTTGATCTGATGATTGAACATACTAAAATGGCATACCCAGCACTAATGCCTTGGCTCACGGCAGTATGCATGAACTTCTCAGCAAAAAAAAAGATAACTCCAATATGCCAGTTGGTGAAAATATCCCAAGATACACAGATGACTGGGTAACCACACCACAGAAGCATTCACTTTATACATTAACACTGCACATTAAAACCAAGCCTGCAAGAGCCAGGCTAAATGTGAGACAAGTGGCTCCTTACTACCCTATTGGTAAACTGTGTAGCAGCCAAATTTTGAGTGAAAATGAATGAACTCAATAGAGGTCACTCTGGGCTGTCATAAGTAACCTTCAGTGTCTTCCTTTGCCCAGTTTTGATTGTTTGAAAATATCTTTCCATTTCAATTGAGAGCAGATATTGGCAGAGCCTGACTTTGTCTGATCCTGTCCTTGGGAAGAGTAAGACAGCAAACGAGTGGGTCAGCTCAAATACTAATAGATGGGTTTTCATTAACCGAGGTCTGACCAGAGCTGCAGCCCCTGACCACTAAGTTAATTAGTGCACTGCATTTTAGTTTTATTAGTGCGAGGCCAACATGCAAATTATTAAGAATTTGGTGTTTCTATACACCAGCAAAATGCCAGAAACCTATTGAAGAACTTGTTAGAACACCATGCTTAGTGAACTTTTCTCCCCAAGAAACTATAATCATACTAGAATTTTGTTCAGAATGCAGAACTTAACAAAAAATATTAATATCTGAATACATTTTGCAGGCAAAATGACTAAGCAAAATAGAAAGATGATATTGCATCCCTGAAGGAGAACCTTGCAAGATGAAGTTTCTCACCATATTTTTTAACATACGGCCATCTCACCTGGACTCCTCTGTCGCATTCCTACAAGTGCATTAGCTGCCTCAGCACACTCACGGCCTACTTCAATCCCAGTGCGAACCGTCGGTGACACTGTGAGTGGTACCCCTTCATCCTCTGCAGAAGAAGTCATAACTCCCAACCCTCCTCCTCCTCCTCCATCACACACTCCCTCACCTCCTCCAACATTTCCTCCAATGGATGAGGCTGATGAAGATGTTCCTTCAGGGATGGCATTACAAGGATGATACACACCATTAACAGGAAAAGCAGTGTTTTTTGCTATCTGTAATAAAGAGAAAGAACAGAACTAAAGACACGTTCAACAAGATCATCAAGATACGTACTGTATATCTAAAAATGTAGCAAAAGTCATCAATTACACAATGAAAAAATAAAGGCATCATTAGCATATCCAACAATGTAATGATTGATTGTTACAAAACTTTTGTCACTATAGAAATAGAATAATCGGTAACAATACAATAAAATAACTAACATGATCAAATATCAAGAACTGTAACCAAGGTGTATGTCAAAATGTAATTGATAAAATTAAATCTTGATGTAATTCAAAAGCAGTCACTAGAACGAAGTGTGACTATTCAGAGAAGAAAGCTGCACCTCAGAATTAGAGATAACAACCATTTTATAATACATGGTGACGTTTACATGAAACTTTTCTTCTGGTGATAACTACACAAGTGGTGTTATAGCACGAGGCATGATGATGGCATGTCAGCATTGATGGCTATGCAAAGCTTAATTGTTGTTCATTTAATTAAGTCTTGATTTCAAACAGGGAGCAATGGTTTCAAACTCAAGAGACAATGTATGACAGAAAACAATGCTTTTTTACCCGGTAAGTTATAAACCATGGAACAGCTTATCCACCGAAGCCGTTAATGCCAAAATACTGCTGAATTTCAAAATCCATCTCGATAAAATCATCAGGATAAATGGGGAGGGACTTTCGACAAGCTGCCGGCTTTTTATCCTCATCGAGGCCACTAGAGAGAGTGGCCCTTAAATAAATTTAGGTAAATTTGTGCATCGAGTTTATTTTGTCATTATTTTTATTGTATTTACCAAATTAAAGTACAGTACTATTCTTGCTTTTATTCCATTTAATATCTAAAATGTATATGGAATATTCCACACATTGCTACACCCCAAGAAACATGTCAAAAGATACACAATTGATATTACAATAATAAAATTATTACAGTAATACACTAACCTGTAATAAAACTATAGCATGTTTAATGGACTCTAGAACATTGTTTACACTGGAGACGACTTCCTGGCAGCGCTGCCTGTCTGCTTCATCATCTGTGGCTAACATGTGTCTCTCAAGAACACTCGTTTGTTCAATCAGTAACTGAAGATAAACATCACTCTCAATTAGCTTCTTGTCAAAGTCTGCCATTGTCGGGGCTGGTTTGCTTGGATCCCACCTCTGTGGAAATTAAGATAAAAGGCATTACACAATGACTGTCTTCCAGAATTTGGATAAGAAGTCAAGTCAGGGTGTTGTGCACCTTGTTACATCAAGTCTAGAACTTGCGACACCAGCATGGAGCTCTCTCCCCTAGTACATAACAAAAGCAAAAAAAAGTTCAGAAGAATGCAACCAGATTGGCCCCATTGCCAAAAAAGTGTGTCAAGAGGATATATTATATATATATATATATATATATATATATATATATATATATATATATATATATATATATATATATATATATATATATATATATATATATATATATATATATATATATATATATATATATATATATATATATATATATATATATATATATATATATATATATATATATATATATATATATATATATATATATATATATATATATATATATATATATATATATATATATATATATATATATATAATATATATATATATATATATATATATATATATATATATATATATATATATATATATATATATATATATATATATATATATACAATGTCAGACCAAGGAGGAAAATGAAACAGGAATTTCCTTAAGTACTTTCGTATATTAAATACATCTTCAGAAGGAATGAATGATTCCTTCTGAAGATGTATTTAATATACGAAAGTACTTAAGGAAATTCCTGTTTCATTTTCCTCCGTGGTCTGACATTGTCACATTCTTAATCACGTGTTTATTTTCGTGATATACACACATATATATAATATACACACACACACATATATATATATATATATATATATATATATATATGTCGTACCTAGTTGCCAGAACTCACTTCTCAGCCTACTATGCGAGGCCCGATTTGCCTAATAAGCCAAGTTTTACTGAATTAATATATTTTCTCTAATTTTTTTCTTATGAAATGATAAAGCTACCCATTTCATTATGTATGAGGTCAATATTTTTTATTGGAGTTAAAATTAACGTAGATATATGACCGAACCTAACCAACCCAACCTAACCTAACCTAACCTATCTTGATAGGTTAGGTTAGGTTAGGTAGCCGAAAACGTTAGGTTAGGTTAGGTTAGGTAGGTTAGGTTGTCGAAAAAACATTAATTCATGAAAACTTGGCTTATTAGGCAAATCGGGCCATGCATAGTAGGCTGAGAAGTGAGTTCTGGCTACTAGGTACGACATATATATATATATATATATATATATATATATATATATATATATATATATATATATATATATATATATATATATATATGTATATATATATATATATAGTATATATATATATATATATGTATATATATATATATATATATATATATATTATATATATATATATATATATATATATATATGTCGTACCTAGTAGCCAGAACTCACTTCTCAGCCTACTATGCAAGGCCCGATTTGCCTAATAAGCCAAGTTTTCCTGAATTAATATATTTTCTCTAATTTTTTTCTTATGAAATGATAAAGCTACCCATTTCATTATGTATGAGGTCAATTTTTTTTATTGGAGTTAAAATTAACGAAGATATAAGACCGAACCTAACCAACCCTACCTAACCTAACCTAACCTATCTTTATAGGTTAGGTTAGGTTAGGTAGCCGAAAAAGTTAGGTTAGGTTAGGTTAGGTAGGTTAGGTAGTCTAAAAAACATTAATTCATGAAAACTAGGCTTATTAGGCAAATCGGGCCATGCATAGTAAGTGCGTGGCTAGAAGTGAGTTCTATATATATATATATATATATATATATATATATATATATATATACTATATACGACATATATATATATATATATATATATATATATATGTCGTACCTAATAGCCAGAATCCAATTCTCAGCCTACTATGCAAGGCCCGATTTGCCTAATAAGCCGAGTTTTCCTGAATTAATAAATTTTCTCTAATTTTTTTCTTATGAAATGATAAAGCTACGCATTTCATTATGTATGAGGTCAATTTTTTTTTATTGAAGTTAAAATTAACGTAGATATATGACCGAACCTAACCAACCCTACCTAACCTAACCTATCTTTATAGGTTAGGTTAGGTTAGGTAGCCGAAAAAGTTAGGTTAGGTTAGGTTAGGTTAGGTAGTCGAAAAACAATTAATTCATGAAAACTTGGCTTATTAGGCAAATCGGACCTTGCATAGTAGGCTGAGAAGTGCGTTCTGGCTACTAGGTACGACATTATATATATATATATATATATATATATATATATATATATATATATAAGAGAAAACCCCCTCACATTACTAGAGACAATAAATAGGAAAGACATCTATCTATCTATAATCACACTTACTCTCTCTTCTCTCTCAATATCTTTCATTTTATCTCACTCACTCGTCCTCACCCTCTTTCTGACTCATATTTCTCTCCATCCCCGTCTATCTCCCCTATGCGTGCCATCTCGCTCCCTCTTACCATAAGCAAATTAGAGACCAATTTTAAGTAGCCTACCTTACTGGGTTATTATTTCAATAAACTTGTATTGACAAATTAATTATTTTAAACTTTTTACATATACAAATTATGGATTTGCAGGACATTGTATTTTCCCAATAAATGGAATGATCCAACATGTGTAGCAAGTCAGATTTCATAAATGAACTCTGAAGTAGACAAGATAAAACCCACACTCATTTTTAAATTAATAAGAATAAAAAAGCTTAATGAAGATTATTTGAAATTAGCAAAAAAGTAGAACTAGGAATAGCAAATTTCAATTACTGAAAGTATAATGTTAAAAAGACAAAAGGAAGCAATGCCTTACAAATAGATTAGCAGACATTTGGAATGTTTCTTAATAGCAAGTATTACATGCCAAAGATAACTGGAAAAAGTAATAACACAGTGTATATAAGAAGACTGGACACCATGAGTTTAGCTTTGATTCCTGTTGCTCCAAACTGATACTATACACTAACCACAGATAGATCAACACAATCAGTTCACAAACAAGGGTCCTGGTAGTACAGTCGGGTTTGTTCTCGACGCACAATTGAGAATTCCGGGTTTGAATTCTGGGTAGGACAGAAATGGTTGGGCACACTTCCTTTCACCTAATGCAGCTGTTCACCTAGCAGTAAGTAGGTAGGTACTCAGGAGTTAGTCAACTTATTGGGGGGTTGCATCCTGGGCAAGGTCAGTAATTCAGCTCGGGGGGGGGGGGGGGGAGGGGACCTCGCTAAAGGCCAAAACAGTGTATTAATACACTGACTTCCTGACCTCTGACACAATGAATTAAATTAATATAATGTCCATGGTTTAATTCCACTGCAGGATGGTGACATTTGGGCAAGATTTCCTACACCTTATGCCTCTGTTCTCCTAATAGTAAAAAGCGTCTTGGAATTAAGCAACTGTTGAGGGTGGCATCCTAGGAAAGATCAGTCACTGGGCCTCAGAGGACCTTGATAACCCTAACAGGGTCCCTGTTCTTGACAATGGGAAGCAATAGGAAGGGTATAGTACCGAGTGTTCAAATTGTGTTGCCCTTGACTGAGGAGTTCCATTCAAAATAATTTACCTGATTTTGAGTTACTTGGCATTTTGTCAAAGGATAAACTCATCTGCTTTTGTGCAACGATTGCGGTGCATTGATATACCTTCGTAAAAATTTGCTTTCTTCATTACCATAGAATGATCACATCAAGCCAAGTACTGTATCCCCAATATCAGTTCATTCATTTTAGTGCCTTTGTGAAAGGGTCTCTTTGAGCTCTGCAGTACTGTACTACTGTATATCAAAACTGTGCTGAATTTCAAAACATAAATGGAAAAGATCATCAAGACAAATGGGGAGACCTTCGACAAGCCGTCGGCGTCCTGTCCTCATCGAGACCACTAGGGTTAGTGGTCTTTAGGTAAAATCAGGTGAAATCTACAAAATTTAACATATTTTACTGTACTTTTCACAAAATATGATTAGTTTTCACAAATTTATACACTTATGTTTCCAAAATAACTCGCAGCTCATTCTTTAAATATCTTTCCTCACTACAATTCAATCATATACTTATATATACTACTACTACCATGGCTAAAAATATAATTAAAATAAATCTTACCCGTATAGATGGTGTGTGTCTTACAATTGTGTCCTCTAGTCCTCGTATCCATTTTTCTCTTTCATCAGGATCATGTGCCTGAAATTGATGTAAAACACTGAACTAATATGACTGAACTTTGATGGATAATAATTACAGCTAAAAAAAGCTCATGATAATTGCAACATTTCTGAACAATATAATCCAGATTTAGAGGTGCACCTGCATGGGCCACTAAACTGTGCCATGTCCATATTCATACCATAATCCAAAATCCTACTAAAGTCCAAGATTAAATTATATAATATTCTTGCATTATAAAGCCTACAGTACATGCTATTGCCACACAGTTTGTTAATACTGTATTCTGTAATGTTTCTTGCAATTTGTAACATATTAAACAAAAATACAGAACTGTTGAAGATATTTGATTGACTCCCTACCTGAAAATGAAAAGTCTTAGCATCTACTGTAATGGTGAATGTGGAGTCGTCGTCATCATCAATGCCAACTACTGCTCCTTTAAGCCGTACACAACCTCTGCGGGCACCACGCACCATTTTTTCCTTAGACTGAAAGAAAATATTAAAATATAACAAAATATAAATATTAATATGCAAAATTTACTTTATTCATGTGAAAATAATTTGTTTATTAAACAATTCAATAACCTGTAAAGTACTGTACATTACAGCAGCAGTCCCCATGGTGAAGTCATAGGACACTCGCCTGGCGTTTCGTGAGCACTTTGTCCTAGGGTTCATATTCTGACCGGGGAGGATTTACTGGGCATCAATCCTTATTTACCCAACAGTAAAATTTGTCTCTATCCAACAATAAAATACATAGGATTAAGGACTTGCCTGAAACACTATGCATGCTAGTGGCTGTACAAGAATGTAAGAACTCTTGTATATATAAATAAATAAATAAATAAAATAAATAAATTATTATACAGTATATGCACTGATAACAGCATGACCCAATGTTTATACAACATACTAGGTCACTCATTGGTTAGCACAGTTGGCTTACAACCTATTAGATCCGAGTTCAATTCTCACCCCCTAGATAAGGTCAAGCGTTAGCCAAGACCCCTCTAGATGCCATGATAAGTCTAGTGAGTTTCCTGCCCCTGACAATGGGAAATCACATAAGGATAAAGGAACAACCCATTGAAACACTGCTCCACACTGCTCGCCTCATAAAGCAAAATCTTCTGTGAGCACCAAACAATAATCTACGTTAACACAGCTTAATCTTACAAAGTGTTTTATTACTGTTAGAAAACGATATTTGTGTTGATGCCTGTGTATGATTCTACTAGAATGATGTTTACGAGCTACCGAAGGCTTGACCCAGCCTTGTCATTGCTAATCCTTAAATAAACCTAACCTAATCCAGCCTAACCTATTCTAATCTAACCTAATGTAACCTATCCAAACCAAAATAAGATAAAATTTATAATATTATATACTGTATGTATGTATATATATATATATATATGTATATTATATAATGTATATGCATGCAACAACGATCACAAAACACTGATCCAAGTATGCGGAAAAACCACATGTGAAATATAGATAATGCTAAATACGTTTTCAGCTCAATTCACCTTCATCAGAGCATTTTAGAATGAATAATAAAAGAATATTATTAATAGTAATTCTAAAATGCTCGCGATGAGTCACAATAACGTGGCTGAAGTATGTTGACCAGACCACACACTAGAAGTTGATGGGACGACGACGTTTCGGTCCGTCCTGGACCATTCTCAAGTCGAAAACTCGACTTGAGAATGGTCCAGGACGGACCGAAACGTCGTCGTCCCTTCAACTTCTAGTGTGTGGTCTGGTCAACTAAAATGCTCCAATGAAGACAAATCGAGCCGAAAACGCGTTTAGCATTCTCTATTATTCGCACGTGATTTTTCTACAAATATATAATGTTTGCAAAACGTGTGATATGACTGATGTCACAGGTTGTAGGCCTGTTTTGGATGCCTCGGTCTGAATGTGCCCACCAAATTTTTAATACAGTTTAATATTAATAGTAATTGTCTTTTCATTCTAGCAACTTATTATATACTCAGCAGCTTATTAACTTGCAAATAACTTATTAATATAATATTCTATTGACTCTCAAGAGTAAACTAAGTAAACAACGACCGCTCACGGACCTCAATCATCAAAAATAATTATTTGTCTCCAACTACCACCAACCCCCCACTGCCATTCCCATCTCCCCCCTCCCCATCATATATAGGCGGGACCAAAGAGCCAGAGCTCAACCCCCGCAAGAACAACTAGGCGAGTACACCCACTGACCACCACCACCCTCTGGGGCCGCCCACACCCCCACCCCGTGGTGGGCGGCCCCCACACACACACGCCCACGCCCACTTACTGTGTAATAAGAGAGGAGGCCAGCACTGTCGTCGAGCACAAACCAGCGGTACTGCCACCCCTTCATGACATTGGTCCACTTGCTGAGCGGTCCCTCCATCACAGCCATCTTGCTGGCTGCGAGTAGCACCAGCCTCTGCCACCAAAGTGTCACTCAAGAGGTTCAGATTCTTTAAAATTAAAACAAAATAACATTGTATAACACTTTGATAAAGATATTTGATTACCTTATTCTGCCTTGTTTACATTGCCTTATGGGGTTTATACTTATACAATAGTGGCGGGAAAAGCAGACGATGATGTGGGTGCCCCGAGTTACCTGAGTTTACCTGAGGGCCACTACTCCTCTCTAGAGGCCTTGACGGGGACAGGAAGTCGGCGGCTTGTCATGGGTCCGGTCCCTTTGCCCTTGTTCTAGAGGATAATTTCACTTAACTGGATTTTGAATTGAAGTAATGGCATTTGTAGGGTCTGGGTAGTACAGTTGGGTTCGTTCTCGACTCTCAATCGCTTGTAGTAAGTATTTGACGTTCGTTGAACAGGAAGGGCTGCACACAGCCCTCTTTAACAAAGTCCAAATGCTTGTGTAAAACACGTGTGTGCAGCCCGTCCTCGTCAACTAAGGCCAAGCTGCTCGTTAGTCTAACTAACACGTGCAGTCTCCGTGGTGTAGTGGTAAGACACTCGCCTGGCGTTCCGCGAGCGCTATGTCATGGGTTCGTATCCTGGCCGGGGAGGATTTACTGGGCGCAATTCCTTAACTGTAGCCTCTGTTTAACGCAACAGTAAAATGTGTACTTGGATGAAAAAACGATTCTTCGCGGCAGGGGATTGTATTCCAGGGACCATAGGATTAAGGACTTGCCCGAAACGCTACGCGTACTAGTGGCTGTACAAGAATGTAACAACTCTTGTATATATCTCAAAAAAAAAAAAAAAAAAAAAAAAAAAAAAAAAAAAAACTGCCAAACATTTCTCGAACTAATTCGCTGTCGACCTCTATTCAAGTCGCAACTCTGTAAATGTTTCAACTTGTTGTTTTAGATTCATTTAGAACTGTAGGTAATAACTAAGTGATTGTAACCTATCCACCGCTGCCTACTGGATGGGGAGCGGTGTGCAGGACAAACATGTCAATTGTGACACTGTGACACTAGCTATAGCTCTCCACATGTCAGTTGCTTAATTTAGAAACTGTAGTTGTGGTCGATCTCGAACCCAATGATGATGTGACGATGTGCATTGAATTTTGTAACTAGCTCATCAAGATTGTAACTTGCTTAGCTAAATGAATTGTGGGGTTCAGTCCCTGAGCCCATTATGTGCCTCTGTAACCCTTTCCACTACCACCCACAAGATGGGTATGGGTGCATAATAAATGAACTAAACTAAAAACTAACTGTTGTTTTATATTCAGCTACTCTGAACAAAAAGTTAAAAGTAGCACTGGCTATGGTGAGCCCATAAGTGGAGGCTCTTTGGAGCCATTATCTGTATCAATAGCTGATACTGGAGATCTGGGGATGGGGTCCATGAGCGCTCCTATCTAAGAGCAGGACTGCAAATGATGATTGATGAAGGTTAAACCACCCTAAAGGTGGCACGGACATGAATGGGCCGTAAATTGAGGCTCTTTTGAGCCATTACCAGTACCAATAGCTGATAGTAGAGATCTGTGGATGGATGTGGGGACTTCGTGGTGGATTTCAGCTTCGGAGGGCTGGCTGTACCAGTTATGGAGCTGGTGGGTTAGTGTAGATCTCTAGATATTCCGTTTTTTCTTTGGCCGAGCCGTTGGAGTTTGGCGAGGTGGTCTCCATGAGGAGGTCTTGTATCGAGTTGGTGTCGTATTTGTGCTGCGGCGGAGGAGCTCCTACTAAGATTTCCTCGCCTGAGGAGGCCGTAACATCAGTAGTTGACGGTTTCTATTTCAGGAGCGTTGGTGATGCTGTTAGTATTTGTAGACGTCAGCTGAGATGGAGATGGTAGGAGTGTTGGGAGCTGGAGAGGGAAATACCTCTGTGCCGCCCGGTTCTTGGGTGGTTCTGGAGTCTGTTGAGATCGACTTCGTGATCGTCCTAGTGGTGGTAGAGGTAGTGAGACTTGCGTCCGGGGAGATGATGGGGGGGATCCAGGCCGTTGGCCTTGAGTTCCTTGACGAATCGTTGTCTTTGTTTGAATCGTTGAATCGTTTTTGCCCGAAACGCATTGCGTAATAGTGGCTTTAGGCATTGTATCTAGCTTGTCATCACTTGTATGTATATACCGAATAAACATCTGAATCTGAAAATCTGTCTGGTCCGGCAAATCTCTCCGCTAGTCGAATAAGTCCAGGGATAATGCCTGCACGTGATGCAAGGGACTGTGAGGGTGCTGATAGATCCTTAGGTCTCCAGTGTGAAGGCCGTGTGGCTTTTTGGGAGGAGCCACTGTTTGGTAGAACTGGGAAGTCTTCTGGTAGGTTGGTGGGAGCTGAGGTGCTGGGTTTGGTGCCGGTGGTTCCGGCGGCGGATGTAGGTTTGGCTTTATTGGATTCAGCCTGGATCCTAATGATTTCCTGTCTTTGAGGGCAGCGGTGGGAAATTGCAGGGTGAACGCCAACGCAGACTAGGCAGCAATGGTTTTTTGACTTGCCGGTGGAGTAATGATGGTTCTGGGTTCAAAGACTGTGCTTCTGGGTTCAAAGGCTGTGCTTCTGGACAGGGTACTGACACTTGTTGGTAGGGTGGGAGTAATCGTAGCACCGAAAGCACTGTTGGCTCTCGTGGAATCGTTCCTTCTTCACTTTGAAGGGTGAAATCTTGACGCCGAAACAGTGGAGACCATGTGTGACAGCCTGATTGGCCGCAGCTAATGTGGTGAGGATATCTTCATGGTGGGGCGCTTGTTGTCGTCGGTATCGGTGCTGTAGAATATAACATCAAATACCCCCAGTATTCACGTGTTTTCTTCCTCGATGTTGGTAATGATCTCCGTTTGTTCTCGGTCCGCGATCCAGCGGCTGGTCCCGCCGATAAAAATTGTTTGGTCGGCGGTGTACTGACGTGGGAAGAGAGGGTTGCAACCTGTTTTCTCTGTAACATGGTACATATGTAATATAGTGCTTATAGTTCCTATGCTGCTAATGTTCATAGTTCCCCTGTGGTAGATTTATAGTTATTAGCTATCACCAGGCACCAATCCTTCCTCACGTACGTTTCATAATACCTGCCCCATCGCCGTGGACAGCAGAATAGTCCGTTTGCTCCGATTTTAATTGTATTTTCCAGTCCCACTTCAGGTGTGAAGTTTGCGCACTATTTTTCATGCTATTCGAATATCGTGGATCAGCTACACGACTTGCGAGGTTGAGAATATAGAGGTCGATTCCGAAGGAAAGTTCTAGTAGAACAGGCAACACCAACCGAAACCGTCGTCTCCATTGAAGAATTGCGATTGAAACCTTGCAACAAGAACACATATGTGATAACATCCATCTGATCACAAATGTCATATCATTAATGCAAACACTCAAACGACAAGACCGACGGGTATTTATCAACTGGGTGCCAAGTCATGTGGGAATAATAGGAAATGATATTGCAGATGAAGCTGCAAAACTTGCAACTAAGAGAAGAAATGTAGACATTTACATATCACAGAGTCTATCACAGATTAAGAAAGTAATTAGAAAGAGCAATGCAAAAGATGTAGTGACTACATCACAGCAGTTGCAACATCAGGATCTGCGAGTTGGTACAAGAATTCAACCAACTACGAACCACTTGGTTTCATGAAAGGGAGCAGTAGAACAACAGAAGTAAATAAAGTACACTTATATCGCATCAGGCTTGGATACCCATGTGCATGGGAAATAGGATTACAGGTTCCGGAAGATGAGAGGAAATGTCAGCACTGTGGAGAAATGTCCGACAGACCACTGGAACATTATCTAACACAGTGCAGTTACAAACCAAAAAAAAAAAACATTAAGACTTAGATTCAACAAAGCAGAAGTAGTTGCATGTAAATGATCGATTTTTTTTAATCAGCCTAAGAAACATGACCAAATTTAAATTATAATTATTTCTGGGTTGTGCCTAATGCAGGTAAACTAGAAGAAAGTTAGAAAATCAAATTATTAATAAAATTAGAGGTGAATTAATATAAAAATAACTGAAAATATGCAAACTTGCTCCGACTGTTAAGCAAAATGTCATGCTTACTAAGCAAAGTAGTGGTGCTGGGAATTAGATACAATTATAAAATAACAAATCCACAAGGGCCGTGACGAGATAGATACAATTATAATATCCACTTACAAAATGGCCTGTAAATTCCCATTTTAGCCCGATGTTCTACTATGCATCCCTATTCTGAAGTCCACACATGATGAACAGTACAGTACTTGCAATGCACTATTTCATTGATTTATCGATGAAAAGTGCCTCAATAATGGCCAGTACGATGAAGTGTTGGTGGTTCACCAGTGCCCTTGCATCACCACTGCCTCCTCCAGTGATTATACCTCTGCTCTTGAAAGAAGCATCAGGTCACACAATTCCACAATTCTAAATAAATAAAAAACAGGTTACTACATTATTTGTACACCCAATTTGGGTTTTCTATTTCTAGTACACAGGACCTATTTATATCATTGCTTTCTTGGGAGATTACGAACACCTTTTATGTATGCATCCCAATCGTAAATTGGAAACTGCCTGTATTTTATTATTATTAGGAATAAACTTTCATTTTAAAGAAATATTGGAAAATATGTTTACAAGAAAAGTAGTGTGGTTCTGTCTATTAGGTACAACATACACACAATATACTCAAACTTACTAAATAGCATATTGTTGTGATCTTTCACATGTATAATTTTTAGGTTATGTGCCCCATTTTTAGCTATCAAGAGCTGTGGTATTAGATATGTACAGGTATAATATATTGAAAGCACACAAATAGCACTTCTGCATAATAGCCAAAGGAGCATATCTTCTAAAGAAATGTCTCGACACAGATTGAAATACACCGTACTCGTTTCAATAGCTTCTTTTGAATATCTCTCAACACAAACAGTACTAAAGTTATCCTGGTTTGGTACCTTACTGTACATCCATTTTCTTTCTTTCTCCATACAGCAGGAATTTCTTCACTATCTTATTTCTTGTAACCAAA